TCACCTAAATGTTTGATCATGCAGTGCATTTTTGTTTTTACAATGGGGCAATTGTTGCACAATAGCTTACACTCAGCACAAGCCTGATTTGGCCTTATGTGTGTGCGCTTTGAGTGTACATGAGTGCAGCGTCTCTAGGAGAGCGCGCGAGTGCTGATTGCTTTAAACACTGGCAAGACTTAAAAAGAAATGCAAGTTATAAACTTTAGTGACGATGTGACACTGCCTCGATTGTGCAAGTGACAATTCCTGTGTCAACTGTGCAGCCTGCAGCTCGCTTATAGTGCAGACGCGATGTGTGGTGATTTGAAGTCATTTGCACATTTTGAGAGTTTGTTTGTAAATTTCACACTGTTTGTGAAATTGCGTATCACAGAAAGTTTTCAAATTACTTTGTAAGTTATATAACAAAGAAATATGAATTGTACCTCACCTTCAGTATTATAATAAAACATTTTTTGAGACGGTGCTGTTGCATGTCATGCCAAACCTCTCACGGCAGGTGCATCGTCAGCTTGAAATTGGTTAATGAGATCGGTCTTCATTGAGACAGCCGATCAAACTTCCCAAAGCGATTAGCGGCCGATAGCGATCGGTAGCCGATCAATCGGAGCATCCGATATGGCCACAGCCATATCACCCTGCAGCCCAAGACTGGTTGCCCACTGAAGCTAAGCAGGGCTGAGCCTGGTCAGTACCTGGATGGGAGACCTCTTGGGAAAACTAGGTTGCTGTTGGAATAGGTGTTAGTGAGGCCAGCAGGGGGTGCTCACCCTGTGGTCTGCGTGGGTCCTAACGCCCCAGTATAGTGATGGGGACACTATACTGTCAAAAAGCACGATCTTTCGGATGAGACGTTACACCGAGGTCCTGACTCTCTGTGGCTGTGGTCATTAAAAATCTCATGGCACTTCTCGTAAAGTGTAGGGGTGTATCCCTGGTGTCCTGGCCAAATTGCCCCCCTGGCCCTTGTCAATCATGGTCTCCTAATAATCCCCAACCACTTGATTGGCTCTATGACTCTCTCTCCTCTCCACCCTGTAGCTGGTGTGTGGTGAGCGCACTGGTGCCTCTCTCCTCTCCTCCCTGTAGCTGGTGTGTGGTGAGCGCACTGGTGCCGTTGTCCTGTGGCTGCCGTCGCATCATTCAATGGTGGTGGTTGAGGAGAGACCCCCCCCACACATGATTGTAAAGCGCTTTGGGTGTACAACAATACACAATAAAGCGCTATATAAATGCATCATTCTTTCTTTCTTTCTTTCATCCCTAATTAATTACAATATGATGTTGTTGCTGCAGAGGATTCTCATTTTCAGTTTTTGTATGCATGTATTTTTCATGTTGATTTGTTTATTGGTAGGATAAGACCCTGAAATGTTCTGTGTTCCGGATCCGCGGCTCCATACCGGCCAGTAACTACATCCTGTTGCCCAAAACCAGCAGCCAGTCTCTGGGTCTCACCGGCCGGTACCTTTACCTGCTGTTCAGACCCAGCCCAAACAAACACTTCATTGTGCAACTGGACATCGCTGCTGAGGTGAAAACTGTAGTTGTTTTTTTTTATGCATAGCTTTGTAATGATACAGACTTTCATGTACATCTCTGTTCTGCAAATAATGTCTTGTGATGATTTTTCTTTTGATTTATCACTCTTTGTTGCTTTGTTCATCATTCAGGAGGGTCAGGTGATCCGTGTGTCATTCTCTAACATGTTCAAAGAGTTCAAGTCCACGGCGACATGGCTGCAGTTCCCTTTTCTGTGTGGAGCTGCACACGGTTCAGTGTATGAGAATACAGCCAGTACTGCTAAACAAGGTATTTCACACTTGCCATTTTTTATGATGTTTTCTACATGCAGGAAGCGTTTTTTTGTGGTTACTGATTGATAACATGTGCATTTCAGGTTTAGTGGGCCCATCGCCGCCAAACACGAGGTGGACGTGCTTGACAATGGATCTACGTTACGTGCTCTCGATTTACCTCAACAGAACCCACAGTCACCTTAAGAGCGTCAAACTCTGTGCCGATATGTCCGTTAAAAACATCATCACCAGTGATCTGCTGTTTGACCCCGGTACAGTTTGATCTTGATCGTGCATGTGTGGTTGTATCTGTTATGGTTGCTTCTGTCTAATTGTATATCGTCTTTGGACTCTGGAATGGTCCTGTATAAATTAAATGATTATTATTATTATTACACAAAGATCTTATTTTTTTGTAGGTCTGTCATTCTCTGAATTCAGGCAGTCTGGTGTGATGTTGCCAGATGGCACTGCACCGATGCCCAGAGAAATGTGGTTCCCTGTACCGAAAGGCCAGAGCTGGCACAACTTATATGATTACATTAGGTGAGTGCAGCCTGTTGTGGAGTTTATTCTGTTAAATAAACATCTTGCTTAAAGGAATAGTTTTCATTTTTGGGTGAACTGTTTCTTTAATAACACTGTTGGAGTTAATAGGTTGTCTATATTTGTTTAACCTGCTCATTTTCACTTCATATTCAAAAATGAATGTTTACATACACATCTAATTCTATTTAGGGATTTTATATATATAAGCACTTTTTAAAAACACTTTTCAATAAAAAAAATTGTGTGTGAACTTCAGTTGACTTCATTCCATTGCAACTAATGTTGACATTTACAAGCCCTAATGGCTTTTCTCTCTTTCTCTTCTTTCTCTCTGTGAAGCGCACTAAGCAACGTTCAGCAATCCAGACAAAGCGTCTGCCTGAGCTGAATTATACACACTCTGGAGGCTCAGAGAGCCCAGGGTCACCAGGTCAGAGGTCGCAGGCGGGCGAACAGGTCACAGTAGTGCGTGCGGATGATGCTGGAGTACATGTATATGCTCATTGTGAGGATGACGTCTATAATCACACTACAGACAGTGAAGAGGAAATCACAGTAAGTAAAGTAGATACAAGACTGGCTTCCTCAGTTGAAATCTTAACAGTGACAAGCTAAGGACACAAAACTGCTGTATTTCTCTGTATAAGGAAGCTAGTTTTGGGTGATTTCCACTGGATTGTATTTAGAGTCAACAAAAAATTAAAACTGACTCTTCACTTTCATAGGAACATTCTATTCATCAATGCACTTGATTACAAATGAAACCAATTGTGACATTTGCTCTTTTAAAAGCATGAAGAATTTGAAAGAATCAATCTAAATGTTTCTTCCTAGGTCATTAATGCAGCATCTCCTCGACCTGTCTCTCTGTCTTCTGACCAACCAGTGAAGAAACCTCAGGTTAACCACACATAAACACAGACTAACATAGAGCATAAATGCATGTTAAATTAAGGTTTACATGATAAAGCTGTGTGTATTTCTACACCTAGGCTCTGTGTGTGTGCTGTGGTCATTTGAAGGGTCTATGTATATATTTTAGAAGTTGTATCCTGACCCCATTCTGAAGTTGAACAGAATTATAGGCTTCGGAGGAGCTACAATGAGATGTGTGAGTGATACACACATACACACAAACACACACACACACACACACACACAGAAACACCAAACATTAGAGGTGCCAAAATAAATTTTGGAAACCAAAATTGAATGCATTGATTTTATCAATTAATAATTGATTTTAATTGCTTTACCTGATGTTGTCTCTCTCTCAGGCTGTGTGGAGTTCTGATGGAGAGGAAGTTGTGTATCCTTGTCACGCTGTTATCGTCAGCATGACCGTTTCCTCTGGACAACAGAGATTCTTCATTGGACACACAGATAAGGTCTTTCTCACAAACACACACTTTTACAAAATTACAGTGATTTGACCAAGGTTTAGTGGTGGTACGCATGATGTGAAGTGGTATAAACTCCCTTAACCATGGTATAATCAGTGTAACCAACATCTTTTTGAGTATTATTATTGTTTATTTTAGGGTTTTAATATTAATATTAAAATATTAGTCCACGGCTAATATTAATATTAATACATTTTAAATAGGGATGCACTGATACCGATACTGGTATCGGTATCGGGCCCGATACTGAGCTCCTGTACTCGTACTCGTTAAAATGCCCCGATACCAAACGCCGATACCACACAGCATGTGATAAGTGCCATATTCAGACAAAGAAACACCGACAACAAAACAACAGACAGCAGAATGGAGTTATTAGAGATTAAGGATGTATACGAAGTATATGTATGCAATGAATATAATGTTAAACATTCAGTATTAATGCCTGTATAGCTGATGTGCGCGAGCTGATAAGCAAATTGAGCGTGCGCGAGTGGATTGAGCGCACGGCTTTAGGCATACACGACTTTCTGGCGAAAGTGAATCTAGCAGCCTGTGTGAAATGCGCTAGACTGTAGTACTGTCCCTCTCATTCTGCATCAGTACAAATACGTACAGGCGTTATTTTATTTTTATATCATATTAATATTTTAATATTCTTTAAATATTTTTATTATTATGTCAAACAATGTAACAACATATCACATTAGTATAGGGTCTAATTGATATGGGGAAACAGTTGTATATGTATCCTGACTATTGTATAACATGGTTCATCCAATAAACATGGTTCATACAATAACAGTCGTCACCTTATAATCCACACCATTTTTAGTTACAGGTAGCTTAGATGATCTTGATTTTTGTGGTGATGTGTTCCTGTTGTTTGTTAGGTCTCAGCTCTGGCGTTAAATACCAGCTCTACAGTGTTGGCATCAGCTCAGATGGGCGCAAACAGTCTGATTCGTCTCTGGAGCTACAGCGGAGGAGTGTGCCAAACCATCATTCCTACACACACACATGCTCTGAATCTGCTCAGGTACAACAATAACACGTGTACAACACAGATCTGCCACTGTGTGGATTTCTTCAGGTCCATCAGGTGATGTTTTTGTTGTTTCAGTTTCTCTCAGAGCGGAGGAGTGCTGTGTGGCGTAGGGAAAGACAGCCACAACAAAACTGTGAGTGTTTTGCATGTGAAGAACTGTACTTTTTTTGTGAGTGTATATTGTGTATGCTTGTGTTAATTATTTGATTGGCTCATTTAGACGGTGGTGCTTTGGAACACTCGACGTGTGGCGGAAGGAAATGTGGTTCCAGTATTGGCTAAAGCACACACAGATGTGGACATCCAGACAATGAAGCTAGCATTCTTTGATGAAACACGGTGTGCATACACAATTATATTGTTATGTGTCCTACAAAATCACAGCCATTCAGAACATATTTAAGATTTAATGTGGAGTGGGATTTTGTTTTGACGCAAATGCATGTACAGAATAATCAATATCATTAACAGTGTTGTTAACCTCAGTCATATTGGCAGATTATAAGTGAATATGTGTTTGTGTGTGCAGTATGGTGTCGTGTGGTTTACGTAACATACGTCTCTGGCGTGTACGTGGTGGTTCTTTACGCTTCTGTCCGGTGGATCTGGGACAGTATCACAATTTAGAGTTTACTGACCTCGCCTTCGAGCAGGGACACACTCAGGACCGTCCAGTGGATGAGCGCACGCTGTGAGCATACAGAAACACGTGACATCATGCCAAATGAACAGCCACATCAAACTCAACTGTAGTACACAGACCTGCTCACATTAATGATGTAATTTGATCTTGAACTCATCCTGAGGTGTTTTGTGATTGGAGCAGGTTTGTCAGCAGTAAGAGTGGTCACATCCTGGAGATCGACTATGTTGCCGTGGCGGTAAAAAACATCAGGAGGCTTCTCCCAGCTCAGGAGACCCACAGACACCAAAGGGAGAAACAGACCTTTAGCACAGGTGAGAATTTGTGTTTTGTGAGCAGCACAGGTTTGATCCTGGCTCAAATCATAACTGATTACATATCCCACTGTTTGTTTCCTGCCTCCTTCATGTCCTTGTCAATATGTGTCAAAAAGGCCTAAAAAAAAATTGTATTTCTCTTTAGACACCTCACAATTCGATTCAATGTAAAATTTGATTCAGGGAGTCCAAACTAATCCTTAATTCATCCCAGTTTTTCTGCAACATTAAATTGAATTAAATAATTAAAAAATAAAAATAATAAATTTAAATAAGATGATGAAATTAATTATTTTTTATTAATCATTATTTTTTCTCAACATGTTTTCAAATATCAGCATCTAAACACACACATAGTCCACTGGAAGAATGCAGAACAGTTTAAATTAAATTAAATTGAATTAAATTAATATAATACAATTAAATAAGTAAAAATGTAGTTTGCATGGTGGAATTAACGGTTTTCTTGGAGGCGGGTCGGTACTCTCCTGTCAGTCGCTTTCACAACCAATTATCTTGCTTAAAACTAACTCTATGAATCACTGAGATTTTGGTATGTTCGTAGAGCACGAGGGGCCTATCAGTTTGGTGTGTGTGTCCTCGGACGGCTCAAGAGTTCTAGCAGCCACAACCACAGGGAATCTTGGGTATCTGGATGTCAGTAGCCGCGGTTACCGTACACTCATGAGGTCACACGCGGCGAGTGTTTTGGGCTGTAGTGTGGACAGTGTTAGAAGGCGGGTCACCACAGTGTCCAGAGACAGCACTGTACGGGTGTGGGACATGGACACCATGCAACAGGTCAGTTATGGGAATGTTTATCATTAAAACATGAATGCACACACAAATGCATGCTTTCACATGCTGGTGGCTGCACATAGACACCAGACATGGACTGATATTACATTAAAGCAATCTTTTATTCATCTTGTAGCTCTATGATTTTGTCTCTGATGATGATGAAAGTCCCTGTTCAGTTGCGTTCCATCCCAGCATGCCTCTCTTCGCTTGTGGATCGAGCTCTGGAACTGTCAGAGTGTTTGATATCCAAACATCAAGCCTAATTGCCCAGCACAGGTACATACACACTGTCAAACACTTCACACATCAACACTTTTTTACACTCTGTGTAATGTTTGTACTTCTACTAATGATACCAAACACATACACTACCGTTCAAAAGTTTGAGGTCAGTAAGGTGTATCCACAAAAATCTGAAGCAGCACAACTGTTTTCAACATTGATTAATGATGCTGAAAATTCAGCTTTGCATCACAGGAATAAATTATATTTTAAAATATATTCAAATAGTTATTTAGTTGTTTTAAATTGTATTAATATTTCACAATATTACTGTTTTTACTGTATTTTTTATCAAATAAATGCAAACTTGGTGAGCACAAGAGACTTCTTTCAAAAACATGAAAAAATCTTAGCAACCCCAAACTTTTGAATGGTAGTGTATATTTTAATAACATTATTATTTTAACTGCATAAAACACACGTACATGGTTTATTGATATATTTATTTAATGTGTGTGTGTGTGTGTGTGTGTGTGTTTGCAGGCAGCACTGTGGATCAGTTGAGTGTGTGATATATTCTCCTGATGGTCAGTGTCTGTTTAGCGCTGGTGCTCTTGGATATTTGGTACTTTACAACTCTTCTCAACATGAGCATCACGTGGTCCGTGTTCTGGGTGAGTAAACGGTCACTCTTAAAGCACAATATTAATCACGCATATGATGTCAGTTTCTCTTCACTTTCAGATGAACTCCTATTTTATTAGTAGAAATGCTTTTCAAGAGAACTGAAATATCTGTGTAGAAGCAGCATTCTGAATTATTGATCTTTTTTCTAAGGTAATGTGGTTGCACGGGTTGTAAATCGTGGCCCAGATACTTTGGCTGTGAGCTCTGACAGCCGCTGTCTAGCGCTGGTCGGACCGACCGAATACATTGTCACGATCATGGAGGCACAATCACTTAATGAGGTACATCAAAACCGAAATGTTTTTTCAGAGTTTTATCAAACACTGTGATGCAGTGGACTTGTGCACATGCTTGGGGCATGTAAGAGCATTTGGACAAAAAAAATAAAATAAAGAGGTCAAAAAATAAACACAACTGGAAAAATAAAAATAAATAACAATGAATGAATGAATGAATAAATAAACAGATAAGTAAGAAGATAGATAGATAGATAGATCTTTTGAATCTGGGACATAATCAAAGTCTCACATTTTTGTACTGAAATTGTGTTTTTTTTACTTTTAATTTACTCTTTCAATCAGTGATTTTTTTTTTTACTATTTTATTACTATTATGTACCTTATTAATATTTCTAATTAACTTTTGTTTTTATATTTTCCATTTTAGTTTTAGTCTAAGTAATTTTGTATTAGTTTTGTTTTAATATTTCTATTTAGATTTATTTTTATTTCAGTTTTAGCAATTTTGTTACTTCAACTTCAACTTATTTAATTCAGGTAGTTGCCAAGGTAGCATTTTTAATTTTTGTCTTCTTATTAAGTTTAGTTTAAGTGTTAGAAATATTATGTGCTTTTCTCATTTTTATTAATTTTTTTACTTCACCTTAAACTCCTGCCTCCTTCATGTCCGTCAATATGTGTCAGAAAGGCCTAAAAAAAAAATGTAATTTCTCTTTAGACACCTCACAATTTGATTACATTTAAATTTTTATTCAGGGAATCCAAACTAATCCTTAATTCATCCCAGTTTTTCTGCAACATTAAATTGAATTAAATAATTAAAAAATAAAAATAATAAATTTAAATAAGATGATGAAATTAATTATTTTTATTAATCATTATTTAATAATTATATTGCTCAACATGTTTTAAAATATCAGCATCTAAACACACACATAGTCCACAGGAACAATGCAGCACAGTTGAAATTAAATTAAATTGAATTGAATTAAATTAAATTAAAATAATACAATTAAATAAGTAAAGATGTAGTTTGCATGGTGTAATTAATTATTTTTATTAATTATTATTGATGCTCAGCATGTTTAAAAGATCAGCACTATAATAATAATAGATATGTTTTATACATTTAACATCATCCTTTTTATGCTGAGCTCTTTTGAATCTGGGACATAATCAAAGTCTCACATTTTTGTACTGAAATTGTGTGTTGTTTCCTTTTAATTTACTCTTCCAATCAGGTTTTTACCAGTGTCATTTAGTATTTATATACTATAATGTATCTTATTAATTTTTATTTTTATTTCGGTTTTAGCAATTTTGTTACTTCAACTTCAACTTATTTATTTCAGGTAGTTGCCAAGGTAACATTTTTAATTTTTGTATTCTTATTAAGTTTAGTTTAAGTGTTAGAAATGTTATGTGCTTTTGTCATTTTTATTCATTTTCTTACTTAACCTTAAACGTTATTTCAGTTATTTGCCAAGGCAACATTTTTACGTTTTTCAATTTAATATGTATATTTTATTATTATTTATATTTTTAATTATCAGTTACTCCGGGTTGATGTGAGTATTCTGGATGTCGAGAGCACAACGCTGGACTCCGCCCTGAATGTGTGTTTCTCGCCCACATCCCTGTCACACCTGCTCGTCACCACATCCGCCAATAAGATCCTCTGGATTGGCATACACACAGGACAACTGCTCAGACAGGTGAAAGACTGAAGGGGAAAATCTTCTTTTTGAGAACATTATCAGATTTCAGAATCATTATTCATGTCATTACAGGTGTCTGAGGTGCATAAGCATCAGTGTGTGTCTCTGGCGGTAAGTGAAGATGGCCGTTATTTGCTGACAGCCGGACAGAACTCTCTGAAGGTGTGGGACTATGACATGCTCCTGGACGTCAATTCACAGGTATGTCTGTTTGAACGCTGGATTTCATGACATTCAGACGTTGAATGAGATCAAGAATGTGTCCGTTGCTCCTCCAGGTGTTCATTGGTCACTCCGAGCCCATCAGACAGGTGAGGTTCACACCTGATCAGATGGGTGTGGTCACTGTAGGCGACGCCCTCTTCTCTGGGACTTCCTGGCACCTCCACAGGAAGCTGCACACTGCAAGTAAGACCTCTATCATGTTTTCCATAATACTGTACATGGTACTAATCAAACTATTGTTTCGATCTCATCTCTAGTTATTTATTAGAAGTAACTAGGATTTTTTTAGCTGTTCAACTCTTTCTTTCTCTCTTCCTACCAGTTCTCCAGATATAAAAGTCCCCCCTCGTAAATCAGGTATGATAAGCTAAATATTAATTTTGTCTGTTGTTATTGAAAGCCTGTGAGTGCTTAGGTCAACCTCACAAATAAAAAAAATAAAAAAAAGGAAACATTCCCCTGAATCAAAAGAAAATAAATATAATTGTTTCCATAAAGAAAATAATGTCTGTTTATGTGACCTTCAAATTTTAATTTGCATTATTACAATTAAAATTCTAATTTTTCACTAATGTAATGCAAAAAAAAAAGATATGTATTATGTAAATTTATAAATATTTTTTTCTATTTATGGTAGTATTCGTTGTACTGCTTTTAAATTATGCCGATTATATCTTAAAAATTATGTCTGGATAGGTGATTTTATAATTTATATATATAAATATATATATATATATATATATATATATTATTTTAAAGTTAAATATTTAAACTTTTAAGTCTAGGTTTAGGGTTAAGGGTTTGTTTAAATGTATGACAACTCTTGCTTTTGTTCAGCTCACAGCTGGGCGGAGCTAAATGTAGCAGAGCTGTCCAATGAGAGTCCTCAAAAGGCATTATTTCAGCCCTCCTCTCCGCCTGTCATGAATTTTCTTTCCCGTGCTATGAAGGACAGTGAAGGTAAGTGTTCATGAGCATTTGTCCTCGTTCATGTGTCAGTATTACATCTCAAATGCTTTACTTCTATAGGTTTCCTATGCGATTCTACTGCTGAGCTGCAGCTCAGTCCAACTGCAGGCCACACCCACTCCTCTCCTCCCAAACACGCCTCCTTCCTGAGAGTGACAGAGTGGGTGAATGACGAGGACACGCCCACAATCCCAGCCAATCAATCAAGGACTGAGAAAATACAAGACAGTCACACACCAATCCGTCCAGACTGTTATAAACACTTCACTCCACGTTTTAAGACTTCAGTGCTGGATCAGGTATATATTTTTCATAAATTATTCATTATTATGTTAATCTCAAAGTGAATTGTGTATTATGAATATTTAAAGCGCAGTTCAAACTCTCTTTGTATACTGTCTTTTTTTGACCACTTTATTTTCTCCACAACAATCATTCTGTTTTTAGACCACAGTAGCTCCGCCCTCAGGGCAGGTGGGGCTGAGTCTCAAGGCTGTGATTGGCTATAATGGCAATGGGCGTAACAATATGGTCTGGAATCCAGACACGGGTAAATACTAACCAAGTATAAACTCTTTTATGATGTCCGTCACATAAAATATCCCTCTTGTTGGCTCTTATATGAAAAAAAAAAAATCTTTGATGCAGACCAAAATGTAAATCACTTTAACCACCATTTTTGTTGATTTTAGTGCCATTTTTGCCCCAAGCCCCTGTTAATTTCCGACCCTGGCATGTATACACACTTGTTATTTGTCTACATCTTGTGTGTGTTTGTGTGCAGGTTTATTTGTGTACTCATGTGGGTGTGTTGTCGTCGTTGAGGATCTTCACACAGGCTCGCAGAAACAGTGGTTCGGCCACACCGAGGAGATCTCAACGCTTGCCGTCACCCATGATGCACAGGTACCACACACATGATTTAGTATATACTACAAATATATAAATCACACACTCTTCCTCTGTTTCCACTAGTTGGTAATACTTTGCTAATGATTGTTAGCAAAAATTAGGTGCCTCCTTTGAATGAAGCCTCTGTCTGATTTGCCCGGCAGACGGTTGCATCTGCATCAGGAGGCGGAGCTTCACACAGCAGCCTCATTTGCATATGGAACGCTTCAGAAGGCTCCTGTAGAAACCGCCTCTCCTACCACAAGGGGGCGGTTCAGAGCCTGAGGTTTGCCAGGAATGACATGTACCTCCTCTCAGTGGGTCAGTGTTTCATGCTTTGCATTATGGGATCATGTTAAAGGAATATATTGAGATAAATACAAGTTTAACAAACAAATTCTTCGACCATTTTGCACATATTGGGAGTCTATAGTAAAACAGTCAGCAGTATATCAGGGTTATTACAGTTAAGTAAAACTAAAAACATTTTTGTTACATGAAATAAAATAAACATTAACTGAAAAAAAAAATATATATATATAATATAAATAAAATATATATGAAATCATTTATTTCAGCTAGTTTCCAAAGCACCATTTCTCATTTTAATTTAGTTTAACTGAAAGTACTAAAATAAACTAAATAAACTAAAACTAATAAATAATAAAAACTATATTGACAGATTAAAAAAATAATAATAATAAAACGCACAACAAAAATGCTAAAACTTTAACTAAAATTCAAGTGAAAACAAAATAAAAAACACAAAACATAATCTTGGTTACTGTAGTTAAAGGAAGATAAATTTCTAATGAATAGAAAAAAATATTTTTTAGAAAGAAAAACATGTCTAAAAATGTTTTAAATAAAACAAAAGATCTAGACCTATATTTTTTTAATTTAATAAAATAAGCTAATATATAAAAAAATATATGTTATTATGTTAAAATAAAGTTATTCACTTCAAGGTATTCCATGAAAATCACCTGAAGTAATGACTTTCTTTAATACAGATATAGATTATCCATTATATGTTTTTTATAATGAGTAATTAGTGATGATGCAGTATATTATTCTTCTAGGTGATTTTTCGGAGCCGTTGGTGGCGCTGTGGAGCACACGGTCATTTGAGCTGCTCTGTACCGTTCAGATGTCCATCCCACTGCATGATGCATCTTTCTGTCCTTTTACTGCTAATGAGCTGACACTCATCGGCAGCAGTGCTGTTGTGTTTACTCGAATACAAACACAGGAGAACGGCACTGAACTTCAGGTATGTAGGAAAATAAAGCTGATCTTTCTGCATGCACTGTTGCACAGAAGACGGCATGAGTACGCTTTCCTCCTCCTGCAGGTGCAGAAAGTGGGCTTACCTGATGCGGTCAGGGAGGCGGAAGTGACATCACTGTGCTATAGCACTCGCCGGATCCTGTACACGGGCACAAACAGCGGCCACGTGTGTGTGTGGGACTGTAACACACAGCGCTGCTTTGTGACCTGGGAAGCAGATGGAGGAGAGATAGGTGTGTGTGTGTGTGTGTGTGTGTGTGTGTGTGTGTGTGTTTGTGTTTTTGCTTTATTGATCACATTTGTGATTTGGGAAACAGAATTACCAGGAAATGTGTATTTTTGTGTGCATTTGTGTAGGTGTGTTAGTTTGCCGTGGAAATATGCTGGTCACAGGCAGTAACACCAAAAAACTGAGACTGTGGTCTGTAGCTTCGGTCCAGAATCTCAGTAACGCAAATAACAAGAGCAGCAGAACACAGGATGATGGGTAAACATGCATACATTCACTTTATCGCACTTTGGTTCAATGAAAGTTCAACTATATATACATAGAGGTCATATATATGCACAGAAATCTTTTGTAAAATTATTAATGTTTTCACAGTCACTTTTGATTAATTTAATGCGTCCTTGCTGGGTAAAAGTATTAATTTCTTTCAAAAACAAAAATCTTACTGACCCCGAACTTTTGAATGGTAGTGAATGTGACATATGGAAGCCCAATATGTACCTCAAGAGTACAAAATAAAAAGGTAGTTATGAGGTAATTAATTGCATATTAAACTGAAATGTAAAGTCACATTGTGAGAAATGAAGTCAAAATTGCGTGAAAAGAAATAAAAAATGGAGAGAAATCAAGTCAAATTTGTGAGATGTAGTCACATTGTGAAATAAGTTGCATTTATAAGAAATTTCAGTCACAATTGTTCAATTGTTAATTGTTATTGCCGTCCCTATTTTGTCCTAATTTCCATGTTTTTTTGTCTTTCACTTTGTAAAAACAATTAATAAGAGCTTGTTTTTACTCCATAAGAGCTCAGGTGCAGCTAGAACAAGAACTACTGTTGGATGGGACAGTGGTCAGTGCAGCGTTTGATGATGTCATGGACATGGGGATTGTGGGTACGACAGCGGGAACCCTGTGGTACATCAACTGGGCTGACAGCACTAGTATACGGCTGATCAGCGGGCACAAGAGCAAGGTACGACACACAAACGCTTCAGCTTTACCCCTGCTTTTATCAACAGATGGGAAATTCATCATAGCGAAAGTTGAAATGGTTCTAAAAGCAACATTACTTCTGCCCAGAACACTGAAGTTTGTGTTTACGTTGTAGGTGAATGGTGTGGTTTGCAGTCCAGATGAGCAGCATTTTGCCACCTGTGGGCAGGACGGCAGTGTGAGAGTTTGGGTGCTGCAGAGCCACGAGCTGCTGGTGCAGTTTCAGGTGCTGAACCAGGTGAGCATAAACACACAGATGCAAAAAAGACTGTGTGTGCATGACTTCTTACAGAATAATGTATCCACCTCAGGATACAAGTTTCATGTGATTTTTATTTATTTTCACATTTGTGTTTCCATCCATCCATTTTTTGCATGAAATTATTTGGTGGTTCTGAGTCATAGCCATACTGAATCAGAACATTTTCATGCTCAAACATTTAATTATTAAACAGTCATTATTAGAAGTAGGTTAAAACACATTAATATAATTTTTTAGCCCAAAACTTGACAATTAACAAAAACAACAAAACTAATGATAATACAAGTAAAGGTGGGGTAAATGAGCATATTTACAAGCACCTGAGTATACAAACACCTTTTATTCATCAAAGAATCCTGAAAAAATATATTATGGTTTCCACAAAAATGAGAAGCAGCACAACTGTTTTCAACAATCAGAAATGTTTCTCGAGCAGCAAATCAGCATATTAGAATGATTTCTGAAGATCATGTGACACTGAAGACTGGAGTAATGATGCTGAAAATTCAGCTGCGCATCACAGAAATACATTACATTTTACAATATATTCACACAGAAAATAGTTACTTTAAATTATAATAATATTTCACAATATTACTGTTTTTACTGTATTTCTGATCAAATAAATGCAGCCTTGGTGAGCATCAAAATTAAAACATTTTACCGACCCCTAGCTTTTAGAAGATAGTGTGACTTGGCTAATGGAATCCTGGCTAATAATCTTTCTCTGATCGCCAGTCAAACTCTGAGTATTCATTTTCCTTTGCAGTTAATTATTGTTTAATTGTGTCTGTATGTTTCTCTGTATGGCAGAGCTGTGAGTGTGTGTGTTGGTCGTCTCTGAGGGGTGTGTATGAGCCCAGCGGGCGTGTGTGTGTTGCGGGCGGTTACAGTGACGGGACTGTGAGGATCTTCAGTCTGGAGTCGGCCGAGATGGAGCTGAAACTACAACCTCAGCCTGTGTCTGTGTGTGCGCTGCAGTACTCGCACTACGGTGCATGAGAGTGTGTGTGAGTCCTTTGTGTCTATGTGAGCGTTTGTGTGTTTGTTCACTATATGGATGTGTGTGTGGATGTGTAGGTCATGTGCTGTTGTCTGGTGGTCGTGATGGTCTCATTACTGTCAGCAGTCCTGTCACTGGAGTCACTGTACGCACCATCCGTGACCACAAGGGGGCGCCCATAACTACAGTGCAGTGCACCAGCAAACAGGTTTGTGCTTCTGTGTTTGTTTTTGTGGTTTTGTTTTGCAAGGCAAATGACTCAACATTGTGTGTGTGATGTGGAATTGTGGGCCATTCCTAGAAAGTATTCGGACACTGAAGTCACGCTTAAAAATACATGACTTTGATACAAAAACATTGAGATCTTAAACTTGATCTTAGTATAAAGAAAAGATACTGTAGCATTTGAGACAAAAATATACAGATATTCAATGGCATTGTCAAATTTTAAGTGTAACTTAAGTGTCCAAATACTTACAGGGTAAGTTATAATGCAATTGAAATAAAACTGAAATTGCAAAATAGCTTATTGCAAAGGCTGATTATTGCAAATTTAAATAAATAAATATATGTGCTGCGTGTTTCAGAGTGAAGCGTGGCACTGTGTTCTTTTACACACAAACAGCTCACATTGGTTTAACATTTGAATATGAAGAGAACACAGCTGTAAACATTAATATTGTGCAGATATACTGTAAAATAAAATAATGATTTTTTTTTCAAATATGCGATTTATTTACATTACAATAGTAAAATTGCTTATTTTGTTTAATATTTTTATTTAGTAATAGTAATAATAATTATAATGAATAACCAATTATTATTATTATTGTCATCATTATTTTATTACTAGTATTAATAATAATAATTAGTCATATTGATATATCTATTTTTTCTTAAATACTCATTTTTTTATTTTACAGTGAAATATTACAATAGTAATATTTCTTATTTTATTATTTCTTATTTATTTTATTATTTATAATTTTATTATTTAGTAATAATAGCAATAATAATAATTTATTATTGTTATTAATTATAGTCATTTTTGTTGGCCAAAGATTTTTTAATATTTTTATTTAGTAATAATAAGATGTATAATAAATAATAATAATAATAATAATAATAATAATACATTTTTGTTGTTATTATTATTAATAATAAATATAACAACAATAATAATAATAAATGTGGTCATATTGATCTCAATAATCATTTTTGGCCAGATTGTGCAGCCCTACAAACAAGCCCAGCAAACCTGGAGCACATTTTTATTGCATTTTAAATTTTTATCTGAAAAATCGTCCAGTTCTTGCTAAATGATTTAATGTTTGTGTGCTGATATAAATGTCTTCTAGTATAAGGAGTTTGGTCTGGAGGGAAATGAGCTCTGGTTGGCTGTAAGTGCAGACAGGCGTGTCAGCATCTGGGCAGCTGATTGGACGAAGAAGAAATGCGAGCTGCTTGATTGGCTGACGTTTCCAGCGCCCAGCCCACCAGAGGTGATTGATATTAGGCCAATAAATATGCTCTGAACTTGTTTGTATATTATGTACACTTGAGCTGCTCTGATCATTCACATGTGTTTATTGCAGTTGAAAAGACTAAGAAGTAGCCACTTTATCTTTTTAATCAGGATGCACTGGCATTACCACCCAGTTTAGCAGCTTTCAGCCCCAGCGAGAGAGGAACGGTGGTTTATACCGGCTACGCTGTGGAAAAAGAGATCATCTTTTACTGCCTTTACAAAAAACAGGTACTCAAACACTCTCTCTCGGCCTTTATAACCATGACTGTCTACCTCATTTTTCTCTCCACTCAATTTTATCAGCCAATTAAAGTCATCCTGTGAGAATGTAAGATGATGCATGAGTTTTGTTTTGTAGGTTTTGAGGACGATCTCTCTGGCTGATTGGGCGCTCTGTCTCAGTCTCTGCTCAACTGGAAGGCTGATCGCTGTTGGATCAAACCGTTAGTGCGCTGTTATGCTTTAAAACATGAAAGTAATGTGTTTGTGAGTTATATAGTCATGTAATGGTGATGCTTTGTGTTTCAGAGCGCGTCCTGAAGCTGATTCATTCGTCCAGCGGGCGTTTTCAGGATTTCACGTCTCAGAGTGACTCGGTTCACGTGTGCAGCTTCAGCTGGTCTGGATCTCAGCTCTTCACTGCTGCTCATAATGAGCTCTTACTGTGGACTGTACACGGATTATAATGCTGACACATCAACACTAACGCTACTGTCAGGGGTTTGATAGTTTGGTCCCTCTCAGTTTGGATTGCAGTAGTTACTGTGGTGTCAGATTTATTATTATTATATTAATATAATATTATTATTATAGTCGAAACGTTGCATTGATGTAGCAGAGCAGTTTTGCCATATTCTGCATCCAGTTAGCATGACTTTAAGTTTTATTATTTGGGGGGTTTTGTAATCTTTTTATTTGTTTTTAATATTTTTGATACACTTGCTTTCAGCTCTTGACTTTTTACACTGTTTAAAATGATTTTGCTTGTAAGAAATACCCTGAAATTGTTCTGCACTTTGATCCTCAGAAATAAAATTCATAAAATCTCTGAAGTGCTCATGTTTGCGTTAAATAAAGCTATTACAGTTCCAGTAAAACAGAACCTGATTTGTTAACACTTACAATAACTTTATTTAATGTCATTAAAAAGCATTATATAACGCCTAACAGACCTTTAGCTCATATAAATTAATTAGATTAATATCACCTATATATTTTTCAAATCATTTTATTTGAAAAAAAAAGTTAATTATTGTATTCCAATGCTTTTAGTGTATTATCTTTTGAATTCATGTTTTCATGGAATTGTAAAGTATTGTCCATAAATTACTACCAGTAAATATATTCAAGGCAATGATATTATTTAATCCCCATTTATTTATTAGTTCAGTCAGTCAAAAAAAGCTTTATTAGCATAATTGTTAATGTATAATGTACTTCTAATAGAAAAAGTACACATACAAGTAGTATACAAATAAACATAAATAGTGAAGCGAACAAAAAACGAAGGAAATGAACGGTAGAGGGCGCTCCATTTGGGCTCCAACCGGAAGTCTCCAGCGGTGACAGTTTCTTTGGATGGAATGGGGCTAGTCGGAAACTAGCACTGAGCTTTGAATTGAATTGGAAGTTTTTGGAAAAGATAGCCGCAGCTTGTCGGAGCGTTCAATAGAGAGCGGAGTGAAATGAAACGCGATGTCCGGATACTGCTGTTGGGGGAACGTAAGATATTATTTCTTTTAAATATCAAGGGAATTAAATAAATGTGAGAGTTTAATGAAAGTTAGCATGATTAGAGAGCGCTAACCCTCAACCTTGATCTGCAGTAAACGCACTGCACTCTTGAAATATCGATTAATTGAGTGCTTTATTTATAAGTTTAATTTGTTGTTTACAATCATGCAAAATCATGAACTTTTTTTATCAAGTGAGCAAGTTGTTCACACAGATTACTGGCTAAAAACCTGCTTTATTTAGTAGATATTTGTATGTGATAGATATCCAAATATATGCATTTTTAAGACTCATTACTCACTTTCGTGTGCTTTGTATTTAGTAGACGGTAATATATATTTGTTTGCTTTGATTTGTTTTGACACTTAGATGTTTGTTTTGCATGCAGGTTTTAAGCAGAGTAGTTTTGCTCATCCTGACAGATTTATTACATTTTTTTTTTGTCTGTATATTGTTACAGTTCACGTATTCATAGAGAAACTTCAAAGTGTCTGATAATGCTGTGTATGTAGATATATCCTTCAGAAATCATTCTAATATGCTGATTTGCTGCTCAAGAAACATTTAGTCGTATTATTATTGTTGGAAATAGTTGTGCTGCTTTATGTTTTTGTGGAAACCATGATATTTTTTTTCCCGGGAAAGTTTAAAAGAACAATATTTATTATGTAGAAATCTTTTGCAACATTATAAATGTCTTCAGTGTCATTTTTGATCAATTTAACGCAACCATGCTGAATAACAGTATTGATTTCTTTATTACTTTTTTTTTTTTTTTAAAGATCATGTGACACTGAAGACTGCAGTATGCAGGTTTTAAGCAGAGTAGTTTTGCTCATCCTGACAGATTTATTACATTTTTTTTTTGTCTGTATATTGTTACAGTTCACGTATTCATAGAGAAACTTCAAAGTGTCTGATAATGCTGTGTATGTAGATATATCCTTCAGAAATCATTCTAATATGCTGATTTGCTGCTCAAGAAACATTTCGTCGTATTATTATTGTTGGAAATAGTTGTGCTGCTTTATGTTTTTGTGGAAACCATGATATTTTTTTTCCCGGGAAAGTTTAAAAGAACAATATTTATTATGTAGAAATCTTTTGCAACATTATAAATGTCTTCAATGTCATTTTTGATCAATTTAACGCAACCATGCTGAATAACAGTATTGATTTCTTTATTAATTTTTTTTTTTTTAAAGATCATGTGACACTGAAGACTGCAGTAATGATGCTGAAAATTCAGCTTTGCATCACAGGAATAAATTACATTTTAAAATATATTCAAATAGAAAATAGTTATTTTAAATCGTAATAATATTTCACAATATTGCTGTTTTTGCTGTATTTTTAATCCAATAAATGCAGCCATGCTGACTGCTGAGCATATCAGTGTCTTGAATTAGATATAGCGCATATATAGCTGAAGTGTCATTTCGTTAGGCAGCGCACACGCTTTGTTTCGTCATTAGTGTTACATTTATTCCATGCCCGCTGAACTCAAGTCATGTCCTTACTAGTTTTATCTCTTCACTGACCTTATAAACTCAAGGTGAACACCTGTAGGAGTGTGCTTTTTCAACTTGCCTAAAAAAGTAATAGTACAGCTACAATTTTACCCCAACACATCACGTATAAGATTCAACACTGATGAAGGGCTGGAAACATTCTAATAAAACTGGAAATCAATCTAACACCACACTGATTTGCAAAGGAAATCACAGAAGAAGCGTTTGTGATTGTGGTGCAGAACATGTGACGTTTCACAAATCTAGAGTCAAATGAACTGTGGGAATGCGTTTATTGGGATTCAGTATTATTCTATCCTTTGTTTTCCTGCAGCCAAAGTGGGAAAGACCTCTCTCATCATGTCTCTGGTCGGAGAGGAGTTTCCCGAGCTGGTGAGTTTACCCATGAGCCTCTCTGGTCTGGTGTGTGTTTGACGGATGCAGTAAGAGGAAGCTGATGCGTTTGTGCCGTCAGGTTCCTCTCCGGGCAGAGGAGATCACCATACCGGCCGACGTCACGCCTGAGAAAGTGCCCACACACATAGTCGACTATTCAGGTGTGTGTGTGTATTGAATGCCATAATATTTGCCCTGTAGTATTTTATTAATACTCAGTGTGTCTCTACAGAAACTGAACAGTCTGATGAAGTGTTGAGGGAGGCGATCGTAAAGGTGAGAATTTTCCTGATCTTGAATGTGTATAACAAGCCGTAAATCACATCTCTTTCATGTTCATTTTAGTTTTTGTCCTAACCCGCTGCAATCACAGCTGCATTAATTTGATCAAATACAGTAAAAACAGTAATATTGTGAAATATTTTTATAGTTCAAAATTACAGCTTTCTGTTTGAATATATTCTAAGATGTCATTTATTCCTGTGATGCGCAGCTGTATTTTCAGCATCATTGCTCCAGTCTTCAGTGTCACATGATCTTCAGAAATCATTCTAATATGCTGATTTGCTGCTCGAGAAACATTTCTGATTATTATTAATGTTGGAAAGAACAGCAGTTATTTGAAATAGAAATCTCTTGTAACATTATAAATGTCTTTACTGTCACTTTTGATCAATTTAATGCGTCCTTGATGAATAAA